GAGAGATGGCATGATGAGCTCACTGAAGAGCTGTGTTTAGACAAGGTTTAACTGGCTACAGCATCCATTTCAGTCATTCCACAGAGTATTGACTCTGCTTCACGGGGAATTACAAGAGACATTGAGTGTTTTGTTGGCTCTGGGTTAATAAAACTATGAACCATTTTTCAAAGAAAGAGGTTGTAGAAAGCATGTGCGACTCATCTGCTTACACCACAGTACAATCATGCACAAACCCACATAAATCTAAAGCCCACAGCTAAACATGCACAAGGCAAGCGAGATATAAGCAGATCATAAGGCTGTGTACATCTTTGCACCTTCATGATGGAATAAATCTGCACATTATTCCACCAAATGTGCAGATTTGTGATGTAAACAAGTGACTTCCTGTATGCTCCAGTAAGACAATATGCAATTACATAACATGGTGGTAATTATCCCTTTGAAGTTTTTGTCTCTACTGGACCAGTGCAAATGAATGAGAGGGAGTTTGTTATAAAAAGGCACAATTTATAGAATTAAATGTCCAGAAAATTAACTATTGAAAATATAATGCATGTAGATAAAATAATACAAAGTTACATATATCTCTATAATGGCTCATGCACAGCCTGCCTTCCAGTGCCAAGATAATGAAAGCGTACTGAACTGGATCAAAATTTATTTTTGTAATTAATTACCGACGCTTCAAAATGTAGTCAGGCGACCTTATTTTCTGCAAAGTTTTAGTGTCTGTTAATTCAAAAAGAAATAAAACTGGTACTTCTTCCACTCAGTGAAGCAAAAACTATTTAAGAAATTTTAGAAATTCATTTAAAAAAAACCAGAAAAATAAATAAATAAATAAATAAAACAAGGACCTTTTTTTTTTTTTAATAGTGGCTGAGCCGAGTAAAGACATCAGATATCTGCTTGTGATTATGGGGAATCTGTAGCAAAGGGACAAGATTTCTGGCACAAAGTTTGCTCTACTGAGCAAACCTGAAACGATAGCTGTCATCTGACAACGATTAAGCTTTAATTAGCTTTTTTCTTTTCGTAACCAATGACCAATGAAGAGAACAGGAATTTTTGAACTGGAAATCCATTATTCTTTATCCCCGATTTCCTGGCTACATTGGAAGCCCACAAAAATCCGCAGGAGACTAACCAGACTGATCACATAATTCCCCAATTTATCAGACAGTCACGATCAATTCTAATCCAACTCGGCAAGAGAACAAACAAGTTTGTTTCCCGGTATGTTGATTCCTGTGGCCATGACTGTCATTACTGCATCACACGCAACAGCATCAGTTGTTTTTCGGTCTTATGCCATTAAGCCTCACATTTTCATGAAATATCAGTTAATGCACCAATTTGTATTTGTCACCGAGTCTGACCAGTCACCAACTGCGGGCTTAATATGAAAACAGCAGTGAGAATGACAACCGCCTGCGGCTACAAATTGTCATTAAAGTAACTAAGCACCGAACAGTGGCAGAGCAGTCATTGTGACCTAATGAAAGGGTTTGTGGGGAACAACACTCAGTAAAGCCACAACATCAAAGGCTTGAAGCCTGTCTGTGTTATGTAAACCCACTTTCTGGGCGAGGACCATCCATCAATCTCGACTCCAACTGGTAATGAAATGACAAAAGAAGATAAAGACAGGCGGCGGGTGATAACAAATTAGGAAAGCTACACCAATATGTTTGCTCTTAAGCACAAACATAATGGAGTCAGGTGGAAACTACCCTTAGTTACTATTTTAACACATTTACTGAACTCACTACAGTAGGGTGATATGTGGTTGCTAGGCAACACGATGACATTACAATACATGTATAAGTTAAGGTTTGTGAAAATAAACTTGTCCAATGCTTGTCTAAAGTGTTCTTGGTGCAAAATGCTACAAATGGCAAATTTTAGCCCATTGGTTGGTGGTTGCTAGGTTGCAACATGATAATGTGCTAAAACGTAATATAGCTGATAACCTTCAGAGCCCTAAGATCTACCTTTGTGCCCAATTTTTGCCTCCCAACTCATCGTATAAGAGGAGTTTATACAGACAGTTTCTGGTGTTCCAGTAAGACACACGACCTTTGCAGGACTAAATTGTAATAATATGCAGGACGTAAGTTTGAAAAGGTTTATATAATGATGGATTATGTTCAATACAACAAATATAGATGACTGTAATGGGCAGGTAAATGTGATAATAGCATTCATTGCTTCCAAATCCGGCAAAGGCTCAGCAAACGGGTTACAAAAGTCTGTGACCATCAGATTCGCATCAAGTTGATGAATCAGAAATCTTTGCAGCCATTCATGCAGTGATTCAGCGTCATTTTTCTCTGTAACCTTGGCCTCTTTTTAAATGATCGGAAAATGGAAGCGGGAGTGATGGCAATGTAGCGTTCAAGACAAGAAAACACAGAATTTTTATTGGACTGGTGATTTCGATTCTGAAAGATGGATGACACTGCAGCGCTTTTTCAGGGACAAGGAGTTCCTCTGAAAAAGCAATGAGATTGTTAAAACGTCGCTCAATGTAGAAGCCAAAAGAGATGACCACAAGACATTTTTAAAAACACCTTTTCAACTTCAGCAAGAAGTAAAAAATAAATAAATACATGAAAGAAGATTAGCGCCTGTTATATCTGCTGGAAGGCTGAGGTGAGGTGATTTTGGGATTAAATCATTACATAGAGTATAGGATGATGTGCGTCAACTGATCCTGGAGGGAACATCTGGGTAAATGACAAGCAAGCTGAGGGCAAACACACACACACACACACACACGCGCACACACACACTTCGTAAGCGGGACAGAACAAGGAGATCACTGAGCTACGTTCAAGGTGTAAAAGCATTCACACGCCCTCTGATTCACACACCTTTAACCAGCAGCATACACACACCCCAGCCCCTGTTCGGTAGCTGAAGGATGCGTTAATGAAGGATGACAGTGAGATAATAGGCTGGCACCTGTGCATATATTCCTCACATACTCGCGGTTTCTCTATCAATTTACGGCCCCTACCTCCAGTTGTCGCCTCAGCTCCTTCGCGTGGGCGGAGTCCTGCGACACACCTTCCCTCTGGGAGGCATCGGCGAGAACGTTGACCGTAGTCTCAGCCTCCTGGAGCCATTTGAGGAAGGACTCGAGCTCCCTGAGAGACACTTGCACGCCCTTCAGGTCACTGTCCAGCTGCGTGTGACGGTCATTGGCCCTGTCCATTAATATGATTGAGACAAACGCATAGCTATATATGAGATATAGCAATAACTTCAGAAACATTTAATACTGTTAAAGGGTATCTGCCTTGAAGCACAGTGAGAGGGTGAGCGGGACAATTTGTATGCACCTATTGTTGAGGCTGTTCCAGGCAGCATTGTGTTTATCTGCGACCTCTTTGATCCTCCTGGTGTCATCGGTAGAATACTCTCGTAAAAGGTGATTGGACAACTCGTTGAAGGCTGCGACTGTAGCTTGGCCTCGGCCCAGAGCTTGGAGAAACTCCTGTAAAACAATGCAGCGCTTTGATATTCGTGACACTGGACTGCGACTCTGAGGATGTGACAGATGTGAGTCAGCGTGAATACTGTAAGTCACTGTGAAGGGCATTGTTTATCATTATTGGAGTTATCCATCTTCCTGTGCCGTTTGCTGTATACTGTTGTGGCCTGGTATATGAAAAACTGCCGTGCGAGGATATTAATGACTCATTCTCTAAGCTGAAAAAAGAAATATTAAACTAACAACAAAAAAACAACAACATGCACACACACACACAAATTTGTTATTCTGCTGCTCGGCTCTTTGACATTGTTTGTTTAACCTCTGCTTAATCAAGCATGTTACATTAGACCCTGGTGATTAAGACTCCAAATTCAGCATTTGGAAGTAAGTCATCCATATAAGACTGCTGGGCTCCTTTTCTTTTAACAAAAAAAAAAAAGTGTACTTCACTATTTTAAATACATAATTACTCATTATTACAAGACCACACACCAGGAGCAAACAGCTGTGTATACAGCATCCTGGATTCTGTTAAACTCAGTTGCCCTCTAGTGTTCGGTCCCTGTAATCTGTCAGAAGAGGCAGGATTTGGTGCCAGAAATCATTGGCCAAGACATCATCTCAAATTAAAATGATGGATGATGTGGGTGTACGAACGTTATTAAAGTTCAAAGTGATACTTCAGAGAGGTGATTTATTCATGCTCTCCTTGTATAAACTTACACGACTGTATAAAGGACCTCTAATATGTTATAAAGTTCGCTTTGATCCATTTTTTTTTTCTCTCCGTGAGGAATATGAGTAGACAAGCTTGCTACAGAATCACAGTAAATGACCTCAAGAGGACAGATGAGGCGTACTGAGGTCACAGAGAGAAAGTTTAGCAGTGGTTTTTTCCTCGCTAACCTTATTGTCTTTAAGCTGTTCAGTCAGGGGATCTCTGGACTGACGCTGAAGAAGGTTATGGAAACATCCTTCGTGGTGCCCAATAAGGCCCATCACCTCCTTCCTCTGCTCCTCCCACTGGTTGCTGTGACCAATCATATTATCCAGCTGCTGGAGCCGTGCCTCGACACCATGCTGAGTGCTGTCCCACTGGCTGCGCACCTTCTCCACTAAAGCCAGAGACAGATGTGGTTATATGGACAAACAAAGGCTAAAGCACAACATACATATTTGCTACTATTTTTTTTTTTTTCCCCTGACAACTTTTTTCTTACATTTCTCAGTAATGGATGTGCGAACATCAAGGTTGGAGGTTTTGTTTTTGATGTTCTGCGCCAGTGTGAAAATGTCCTCTAGCTGAGGGTGACGCTGCTCCAGGTCATTCTTTGTCACCTGTCAAGTGAAGAAACATACAAGGAAAGTTTAGTGAAAGTTCAGTTTAAAAAAAACAAAAACAAATGAATCACACACATAAAAAAAAATAAAAAATCAACCAATTTCTCACCTGAAGACGTCCCATAGTGGTCCTGATCTCCTGCGCGTCCCCCACGGTGACAATATTAGACTTGAGCATCTGGGTGATGAGGACTAGCCAGTCTGCAAGCTCAGTGGCAGTCTCGTTAAGATCAGTGGGCGCCACGGTGTCCGGTGTGTGCGGGGTTTGGTGGTGTGGGTCCTCGCTCACCAAGCTGGCCATCTGCACGGCTGAAGGGACGGCAGACACTGAAGCAGGGGCGGGGGGAGGAAAAGAAAAAAAAAGGAAGAAATCTTGATCCAAGCAAGGTTTGACATATAGAGCTCCTTTAAAAGGAAATGATGCAACAAACATTAAAGATGTTAGAAGGAGGGAGGTGGTGTTGCCAAAAGGCTCTCAGAGGATAGTAGCACCACACCAAATCATGACGAACGAGCCATCGGGGACTGTTTTAGTTTGCTACAACCTTTGCCGCTCACCTCTTGCTATTTTTAATCAAGCATTTCATGCTCCAGATTAAGGCAGGACAAAGGGGAATTGCAAATTTAAGAACTTATTACTTATTTTTGTCATGCCCTGTTAATGATCCACAAGCATCTCATTTTTAAATACTTCACTGGGGCAAGTTTTGGATGCCTTCTTCCTTATGCCCTTGATGCACCATAAAAACAGAGGCAGCGATACATAAAGAGAGAAATAATTGCATTTCTTGGATTTTTTTTTTTTTTACCCAGCTGCTGGTGTTGGACTACATGTTGGTGATGTGTCCATGGAGACAGAGGTGGCTCAAGAGATTCCCTCAGCCGGCCATCCAAGGCTTTCCAGTCAGCTGCCAGCTGCTCAACCTTAGCCTATACACATGATAGCGCATAAGGAGACACACACACAAACATATATATAGACTTAGTACAAAATAATAGCATTAGAAATGGTGTGTAACCAGATAAAGAGCTAATTAAACTAAGAAATTACAGGAAATTGTATCTTTTTGGCCCAAAGTGAGGCAGCAGCACTTCAACAGTGCAATAATGTGTAATTATATGCCACAATCACTAGTACTTTGTTATTAAATTATATTACTATGGAAACCTTTTCTTGAGGCAACAGCTGCTGTCGTCTCTGCAGCTCTATTGAATGAGCTAACAGGTCCTCCAGCTCCTTCTTTCTGTCCTTCATGGAAGCCTCCAGATCCTACAGCATATTTAAAAATCATATAAGAGAACAGGCCTGCATAGAATTGATGGATTTTCAGTGAGCACCAGTGTATTAGTTTTCTGAGTTCTGTTTAGTCCACCTACCAGTGCCTGGCCAGGATTCAGGCCGCGGGTCATGACCGTCTGGTGCGTGATGACGGCCCAGTCAGTCAGTCTGTTCATCCTGTCTTGAAACTGGGCGTGACTTTGCAGGTTGCTCTCCACTTCACCCACTTTGTCCAACAGCTCATTGGTCACCTGCAGGAGTGGTAGAATCAGGGATGAAGCAGCAGATGAAAGGGAACTCAACGTTTCACACCAACCACTTTGACTACAAGGCTAAGAAACCAGCTATAGCTACTGCTAGCCCTCAGCCTCCTGATAGATGCACCTATGGTATAAAATTGAAAATTCTAGGTGATTTTCAGAAAGGTTGACTATGAGGTCGAGGTCACAGAGATTCAAACCCGCTCAAGATTTTTAGTAGATGGACATATGGTATTAATTTCAAAATCCTACATCGCCTCATTTGAGGTTCTGCATTCACAAACTTGGGTGTGTATGCCGCCCGCTCGGTTTGTTTCATACCTTGCTCCAGTTGAGGTTTATGCCTCTGAGTTTGGCAACATGCTGTTCTCTGTTCTGCGGGCTAACACTGGGACTGGACAGGATCTGAGGAGCGTGCTTGTTAAGCCAGCCAAGACGCTCGTTCTGTAAATCCATTTCCTCAGCAAGGGCCTGCGAGGAAAGATGCACCGAGGCTTAATTTCACCGTGTGATTGAAAATGAGAGATAAAGTCAAAGGAATGGGAAACAAAGAAGCAAACTCCTGTTGCACGGAGATATGTAGTGTGAATGATTCTACTCTGCAGTGTATTTCCATAAGGTACAAGTCTGAGTTTGAGGGCTTGGAGGATGTAAACAGGAATATTAAAAACAGGAAGTGTCAGTGCTCTTTCTGTTTACGTTTGCTGGGTGAGACTGGTTCTGCTTGTGACTAACTGAGACACTCTGAGCAACTTGTGCTCACAGTACAGCATAGAGGGGAAAGAAGAACAAAGGACAACACAACACAGTCAGAGCTGACCATAAAAATAGCACTTCCCCAGCAGCTCCTGAGCAGGAATAGAAATCTCTGAGCTCCCATGAATCAGACTAACTCGAGCATGTTTTGAGTTTTGCTTTACCTTCAGTTCTTTGAGATTTCTGTCAGTGGCAGTGACAGGCAGGGAGCTAACAGCGTTTTCTGCCTGCTCGAGCCACACAGCGAGCTCCTCGCGCCTCCTCACCAGCTCTGACAGGGCCAGATCCCCTCCAGCCAACCTGCACACACACACACCTTAGATTAGGATCTCCATTTCCTCCAGGTTGCAGGCCTGATCCTAAAAATTTACATTTAAATTGCTGTTATAGGCTGACTGACCGCATTGATAACGTTAACCTGACAAACACTGATAAAGAAACAGACTGATGGTAACGGAGAATGAGCACCAACCTCTATGCTACATTGTATTCTAGAACTAAGATGTTATATGTCAACACACAAGAATGTCAAACGCCAAATCCTCAATCTTTCCCCCCTCTTTTGTACAAGGTCATTTTTACCTCCGCTGTCTGTCTAGGACTTGGCGGTTTACCGCTCTCCAACGCCGACCCAGAGTTTCCAGCTTCTCTTCAAGCAGGGGCCCATCAGGAGAGGAGAGCTTGCCAATTATCTGCTCTCCAGTGTGGCTGAGTCCAACCAGGACGGGCTTATGACTGGCAATGCCTTCTTCCAACTCCTAAAATGCATGCCGAACAAAGGAAGAGACAAAAGGAGAAAAAGAAAGGGGGGGGGGAAAGGCTTCAGTCAAACAGCATAATCTGATCTACTAGTGCTCAAATCCCGAGCTCAGGTCCATCTCTCCAGGCAAATCTCTTATTGACACATAGGCATGATTTGTAGCGAGTCACGACTTAAGCTGCCAAATCTCTGTTTCCACCGAGAGAGATTTAACCTGCCAAGACAGACTCGTAAAGTAGAGTGAGTGATTGTAAAGTCCGCTAAAGGGTGACTCAGCTAATTGATCTCTCAATTCCCATCCACTTGATCCCTCGTCTCATTCTCAGTCTGTGAAAACGTAAAAAAGACAGACGCACTGGACTGCGGCTCGAGCTTTTGCAAATCACGCCGATAAAGGTGTTAATGGCACCGGCACCGTCAGCGATAATGCAACAGCTTCAGAGAATTTAATTCCCCTTGGAAATAAAATTACCGCTTTAGCAATCAAACAAAGCGAAATTTAAGTCCCCTTCTAATCTTACTCTTCAGTTCACTTCTCTCCATTTCCACTCTGCATAATGAACAGTCAGATGTGTGGTGTATTTATTAGATACAGTATAGCACCCATTTTCCCCTGGGGGAGCCAAATGCAATTATCTTCTGTCTAACACGTCGAACCATCAAGCTGCCTATAGCGTGAACATATTACTACAGCATCCTTGGGAGTTAATAATCTTGATTTAAACTTGTAAACACACGCTGATGATGTGATACTGCCAAATTAATCTAATTAGTCTCTATAACAATAAAAGAAAGAGACCCGACAGGCCTTTTGTCACAAAAAAATACATATTTATTCTGTCTCTGGGGTAAAGAAACCAAAACAGATTAGGAGAGAAAAAACAAAACAAAAAACTTAACACAGACCAACGATTCACCACCCTCCACTGACCTCTTGGTATTGTCGTGCAGATTCCAGGTCCAGCTGTCCATCAGGGCTAACGCTCTCAGACAGCAGGTTTTCTGTGTCAGTCAGCCACTGACTGATGTCTTTCAAGTCACAGTGAAACTGCCCCCACTCCTCTACAGCACGGTCGAAACTCCTGCAGCACAAAAAGGAAACACACATGCATCAAAGCTGAAATCTGGAGATAATCTGTAAAAAGAGGAAGGACACACCGACAATCTGTCCAACTTTCTGCCGTCGCTTCAGACCCTTTTAACACAGCTGAACTCAAAAGTGTGGTGCACAGCAAAGGCTCTGTGAAGCACTGGGCTATAAATTATATAAATGTAATACATCACCAATAAAACAGTCATATTGTGTATATCACTAACATCGATGTTATCTCTATGGCTGTAAATCCTCTCGATTGTGACTCAAACTGTCATTTCCGCTGCCACTTTTATTGAGAACAGTAGCCAAACTGAGTGAAGTGTTTTCAGCTGTATTAATACCATAAAATCACTGTGATCCAATTCCCATTCCTTTGACTTTATCTCTCATTTTCAATTACGCATCCACTGTTCAAAAAGCATACCTAATCTACTGTATCTGTAGTGAGTAAGAGTATAGTAGTGAGAAAACAGTCTGCATATTTTATCCGTTGTGTTGGTTGGAATCATATCCGCTTGTTAATATGCTACAGCTACGGAAAAATGAATGAATTCATCATGTTCTACCATCCAGAAATGATAAGGGAAAACTGAACAGTTGACCTCTATTAAAAACGCTGCAACAATCAGGAACCTCTGACAACACCGTGAAGATCACAGCACAACTACTGAATAAAAAGAAATAGAGAGCGAGAGGATGATTACTTAAAAAAAACAGATCTCTATCACAACGGTGGTCTGCTCAACGGCTATTTCCTTTCAGAGCATCGCTCTGAAAAGAACAAATCTGATCAGAGGGACAAGCTGAGGAAATGAGTTCTGGATGAGTAATTTTACAACATGTACTCTATTCTTTTGATACTTAATGATGCCCAGAGGTTATTGTGATTACAGATGCAGTGCTGCAGAGTTTGTGTGCAATCTCAAAATTAGCTTACTAGTTTACTACAGTGTCTTTGCACACACTGCACTCAGCAAATGTGAAGACTGTTTATGCCCAATGAACTGTGCTGATGGCACTGAGGGTCATGCACTGTGTGCATGTGTGTGAATGAGTGAATGACTGTAAGACTGCGTGAATTGGCATGAGAGTGTTTATGCCCAAGGAATTGTTTTGACATTAACTAAGGTCAGCGTGTACGTGTGTGTGTTCTTTACCATGTGTGCTGGTCTCTCTCTTTATCTGGTCCTGCTGTCTCTCTTGACTAGTGGACAGCTGGCATATATTGTCCCTGCAGCTACTAAACATCCTGACATGCATATTCTTACTCACACAAATACACCACAAGTAAAAATAGCAGCTTGTTCACTGTTCTCCTTTTTTGCGTTTAAAAGTTTGATTTAAAACCTTAAATCTAGATAATGAATATAAATACACCTTTATCTGTTATATTATAGGAAGCTGGTGCACGCACCCTTTCCTCTGGTTGTACATGCGGTTGAGGCGGTCCCACTCGGCATTGAGCTGTGTCAGGGCGTCTGCCATTTGCGCCACCTCAGCAGGCGAAGCGTCCCGGATGGCGTCAGGCTGGCGCTCGTGGATCCCTGTGACCTGCTCGCTCAGACGCTCCAGATTGTCTTTGATATTCTGTGACATGAAAACGGAATAATAAAAGAAGAGGAAGTTCATGCAGCAGGCAGATTGCAGAACTGCAAATGTGGTCGCTGGTTATCTGACACCAATTAACATCAACAATTCCACCCCCAGTCTTATGAAGCTTATGGGTTCAGTGGTGATGGGCAGTATACAAGATAATCAGTGAATTACATATTTATTTATTTTTAATAGACAGAACAGCCAGTGTGACTTTTTAAGAAGTCTGAATGAATTCTGTTATTGGTCTGTTAAGTGTACTGATGAGGGGATCAATTAAACTGTAAAGCTTTCTTCAACAGATCAACCATGATGGAACACACCAAACCACCAGAAAACGTACATTTCAAAATAAAACCCTTGATGAACCTCTAATTTAAACTGTTATTAGGGCTGCCACGATTAGTCGACTAGTCACGATTACGTCGACGACTAATTTAATAGTCGACGCGTCGTTTGAAGCTTTGTAAGATCCCAAAAGACGCAGGAATAATAGCAGGATTTAAGAGTGGAATAACGGACTGAAACAGAAGATGGCAGCACTGCATGTACAAGGATGCCAGCTGCCATTAAACCCCGAAGAAGAAGAAGCTGTGTCCCAGAATCCATAGCACCCTGCTCAGTTGTCAACAATGGCGGCAGCTAGTTAGTTTTAATATTACTCTTATTATTCTTTCTGGGTCACAAAATAAACGTTTAACATATTTTCAGGCGAGAATGTAGCTGTGTAAACCT